ATACAAAAAATACATCTAGTAAATTCGCACATGGATATAATGACATGAAACACATGTTGAGAAACTACTCCTTGGTAGCACTCTAATAATATGTCTATATTAGGAGATCACGTGTCATTCTTCTTTTCAGACGCCTTGGAGGGTTATCACGTATCGAAGAAGAAGCGAGGTTAAAAACATGAGGGTTGGGATGATTCTGAAGCTTATTATGAAAGGATAGGTATCTGGAAGTAGGCCAGATCTGATACATAAGGAACATTAAGGTCATTATGGATGATTTTATTTGTAACAAAGTAAGGAGCATTGAGGATTTTACGAAGGATTTTGGATTGTAAGGATTAATTTAATTTAAATTTTAATAAATCTTTAATTTAAAATTTGTTATATTAAGCAACTGCTTTTAAGCTACTGACCGGGGTTGTGTATTCAAGTGAGGATTATCTGTAATTTAAAATGGTTTCTAGCTGTATGTCCTTCTATAAAGCTACCTTTACAAGGTCTGGAATGCGAAAAGAAAAAAACTAAAATCACATCGATCACATTTTCAATAGAGTTTCGAAATAAGTGAAAAGATAATAACTCCAATAAACCTTACACTTGAAGTTACACTCATGGACCTAGTTCAATTCTCGACAGCTTACAGAGTTCTACAGTGTGATCAATGTGATGCTGTACTGGACCAGCCGTTGAACCTTTTGAAATTTTACTGCTATTTATTAAAGCACTCTTCCTTAATCCGATTCCTTAATTACTTGCTATATCGTATATTATGATGCTTGTTACTTCGATGATTCTTGTTTATGTTGTTTCGTGAACTGATTCCATTTAGGATAAAAGTTTTTTTCCGTTTCATTATTGGAAAAATATTTCGAGAAAAAATAATCTCATTAACGAGGAGGACCTTTTCAGTATTATCATACAATCGGGAGACATTATTGCCTAAAATCCCTTATTAATCAGTACGAAGATGCTGAAGAAACCCTTTCTAATTTTCTCGAAAAACAGTTAGCTTCTCGAGTTTCCTTAGTGATCATTACTGTAAAAAATAATGAAAGAACAATTTTCCCAGAACCCAAACAACTTCCGACGTTTTTAAACCACTCCCTCCTACCCCCACTCTCCCCTCCCTTCCTTCTGGTATTAAATGAAAATTTCAGAACCGACCGCATTCTAATTACGTTGATGGAGTTCAAAAAATCATTTCATTTCCCAGTTTCGGTTTTTTTTTTTTTTATATTATGTGTTCCCCTTCCCGGACGCTGTGATGAAGGACTCGATTTTCCTTATAATGGAGTCCATAGAAAATTGAATATTTTGTCAGAAATTGTATTTAATTACCGGACGTGAATAGGAACGATTTCGTAACATTGTTGAAAATATGGCAATTCACGCGATGAATGAAATTACTCCTTTTGTTGTGAAAACGAATTAATGGACCCAACAAAAATAAAGCAAAATGTCTCGAACATAATATGTATTAAATTATTCTAATTTTAGGCAGATTTATTTTTATCAAATATAATATGTGCTGTAAGGTATGGAATCGTGATTCGTTTTTTTTTTAATGTAACGCTCCAAATATCATTATGCAATTCCTAACGGAACAGTATTTTAATCAATTACTGAAAATAGAACGTAATATTATTTTGTAGATGTAATAAGGAGTTAAAATAATTTCCTTTAGAAAGAAAAGAAATTGTGTTTTTAATTTAAGTTTTTTATTTTTGTTTATTGTATATACTTTTTTATTATTATTTATATGTTACTTTGCTTCTGTTTATTTTATATTTTCTGTACTTACAGTGGGAATGTAGCCTTACCTTACTATAAAAATGGTAAATATATATATGTGTATATATATATATATATATATATTAAAAATTTTATATATTACTTTTGATATATTAATAATTTTTTTATATTACTTTTTATATATTAATATTTATACAAAAAAAAAATACTTTTAACTTTTGTATTATATCAAGTTGTGTGATAAATTTTTTAAGACCCATTCTCCATCTGTAGACCTTCATATATCCAAATATAATTTTACTTAATATATATTTATATTATTTTCTCTTTTTTATACATTTTTTTTTTTTATATAAAAAAAAGCTATTTTTATGAAACAGCAGAAGTAAAACTAGCTCTATAGTGTTTTCCGACAGCTGTAAGAAATATCACAGAAATTAATTAAAGTGAAATACGGGTTATATTAATATTCTGAAAATAATCGTACAAAAATATTATTTTATAACACGTTTTTATCTAACATTAGGAACATTTCTTTTCAAGTCTTAACAGACAGGAGTTTATTTTGCCAAATTTTTAACCTTGGTATTAATAAAAAAAAATTCAAGTAAATTTATTATTTGTTTAATTTAAAATAATAACTTTTGTTACAAATAAACCTTCAATTGCCTGTAATTATATTATATTATTATATAAATTATTCTCTATTAATAATTGTTTTCTTTATAATAATATTCTTACTGTGCCTACTAAATTAAAAAAAAAAATCAAGATATGACTACAAGTGCTGATGAAAATGCCCAAACACTGAAAAGGAGCTGTACGTAGGATCTTGATTAATTGCATTTTCTAATCAATATTGTGGGGAACCTCCCACTCGCCTCATACGTCACTATTGTTTACTATTGATTTAGTACGTCTGCTGGTTTAAGTTGTTTAATATCAATAAATAAATTATTAAATTATACAAAACTTTTATTTTTTTTAAATATATCAGTACTTTTGACAGGTGTGGATAAAAACAAATAAAGTTTTTAAAAATACATATTAATATTGTTATTATTTGTGTATTTTATTACGTAATAATGTATTTTAAGAGAATGATTTTTAAAAAGCTGGAAAATTTAAACTAATCGTTAAACTATATAGTATATATTTCCACTTCATTTTAGGGCATACTTAAGCTGTGCTTAAGCATTTCCTTAGAGCTACGCTTGGGGAACTTAGTGCTTAATATCTAAGTACTAGTTAAAGATAAACCTATTACCATACATATTGATTATTAGTTCCCTAATATTCCGTCTTGTATGCTAATATTAAGATCATTGCCCCGTCTACAATTTCTGTTAATAGTTCTGTTTTAAATGTTCTTCATTCAAAGAAAATATATGATTTTATAGTAAGTATTCTTATATTATTTTTAAGAAAAATATATATATATTTATATATAAAATTTATTTAATAAGAAATATTACCATCTTACTTAATTAAGGACATTTATAACAGTGTTCAGAGAGCACATACACACTCTATAAATAAAAAATAAATTAACCAGCAAAATAATAATGCTAAAAATTAACGTATATAAACAAAAAGAAATTAAACTAATAAAAATGAGAAGTTGAATACAAGCATACTTTTATACAATATTAAAGGGTATGTTAATTTTTAAAATACTTATTTACTTATACATGGGACTCTTAAAACCTCTTTTTTTTTTAAATCAATTTATTAAATATTCATTTTCTAAATTAATATTGTTTGGAATTCAACAAATAAAAAAAAACATAAAAATATAATATTTAAAATAAACAATTATATAAAAGAAATGAAATATATTTTTATTTTTTTTAAATTAGAAAAACGTAATTATAAAACAGGTTGTAAATCATTTTTTCACTAATATGTGATGAACAGTCATAAGTTTTATATTTTATTAATATTGATATATCAACAAAAAATAATTTTGGAGTTGTGTTCATAAAAGTTTTACATATAAATAATTGTTGTTACATAGTTACAGTTATATCTTTGTGATTTTAAAATAGGCAAAAGAACCTGAAAAGTGTGAATTGTGAATCCAATTTTAATGAAATAATTTTTTTTAAAATGGGTCTCGTTAAAGTGAATAAGTACCTTTAAAAATATAAATAAAATTTTATTTATTTTGTTGTTGTTTTTTTCAGTTATATTGATTAATAATAATAATCATTTTAAATTAGTTTACCCTCCGAGGCGTCTGAAAAGAAGATGGCCCCGTGATCTCCTAATGTAGTCATATCATTAGAGTGCTACCATTGGGTAGTTACTCAGCAAGTGTATTCATGTCATTATATCAATTATGTCCAAATTTACTTGATGTATTTATGTAATACAGTTGTAAATGTCATAAAGAAATAAAAAAAAAAAAATTAGTTTAAAATGTTGTTCTACGTTTCAGTTCTCTCCACACTTTTTTTATTATTATTATTATTTTATTTTATATGACATAAAAACAATAATTCCAATAAATTAAATATCAATAATAAATAGACTGAGTATATAGCTAATACACTACACTGACTCCTTCGCATTAGAGCCTATATCATAAATACATAATTACTCGTTTATATATTATGATATATTCATATGTATCATTATTTCTTAATCAATGTTTATTTATGTAGATTTTTTAATTGTCTAGAATATTTATTATTTGCTATTTTTTATATGCTTATATAACTCTCAATTTTTTTTTTGTATTACAATCTGTCAGACTTACAATTCTATTGTTTGTTTATTACTTATAACTTATGTATATGTTAAATGAATTACTTTGTAATTTATTTGACAATTACCATGTAAATGTATACGCGTGTGTGTATATGTCTATAAATATGTGTGTTTTTGTTTTATTAGAAAGAAAAAATTTTTCAATGGCTTGTGTATAAATCTTTGTATTTCTTTTTTTTAATAAGTGTTTGTTTTCATTTTTGTATTATATATATTTTTTAAATTATTTTATCTAGACTTTATATCTTTTGCTATTTCTTATATACTTATATCAATTTTAATTTTTTGTATTATAATCAGGCAGAGTTTTTATAGTATTATTTGGTTTTGTATTATAACTGTAAAAATAATGACCTTGTAATTTGATCGACAGCTATGCTTATTATGTTTATGGGGTAAACTCTATTTGTATGGGGGCTTTCCTCGTAAACAAATAAATAAATAATAATAAATATATAACTAATACATTATCTATTTGCATCAAGTTAAAGTTAATAATTTAATTTTTTTTTTCCAGGATTGATAATTGCTACAGATGTATTGTAATGCACAAAAGGCACAACAACGTTCTCCAATATAAAGAAAGTAAGTTATCTTTTATTAATATAATTTCGTTTGTTGTTTTTTTTTTCTCATTTATAATGCTTTGCTTGTTTACAATGATTTTATATTATTTAATCTTGAATATTCAGATTCTGCTAAACCATTATTCATTAAATGCTTCTATTATGTTCCTACGTTTTATTCATCTTCGGTTAATCTATTCCACAACTAATTTGTTTAATAAACTAAAAGAATTTAACAATTGTAATTATCGAATATATTTTAATTTTTTTTATAACATTTTGAGAATTGTAAAAAAAAAAAAAGGATCTATGATTTCCAAGAATCTATAACAGCTAATACATATTTACAGTTTTCTTGGATGTAATATCATTTTCCTTGAATCGTAAGAAATTAATGAAATCATTTCAATTTTGAAATGACTTTTCTGCTTTTTTTCCTGATTAGTATGAATTTTTTTATTATTGGATTTTTTTTTTAATTTGAGAAGGATTTACCAATAAGTTTAATAATAAATAAACCAATTTCGCTTGAAATGATTTTTCTGTAATTAACATGTTTGATTTGATTAATAATTCAGAAACAAATATTTCCTATAATACCTCTAAATATCTATGATGAAGAGATGAAATGGACTTTTTTAATTACCAAAATTCTTGTATTATTTAAATTATAGAAAATAGAAAATTTTTTATTATAGTCATCAATATTTTTATATTTACCATTCTTTTCTTTCTGTATGTACCAGAGAAATAAAGAAAACCTATAAATTGCATTGAAATAATATAACTAATATATCTCATGTTCCCTTAAGTTCCTAATAGTCACACCATGATAAATGTTCATCTCAATTCAAAATATTACGTTTTCTCGTCTCACTGTCGTTAGTCTGAAATGTATGTACGTTATCTTTTATGTACAAGAATTTTAAAATAGAAAACAATGGTTTGTGCTATGATCTAGTTTTTGCGAAATAATACATTACTATATTATGTTTTTTGTAATTATTATTATTTATATGATGTTTATAACTGTATATAAAAAAATACTTTTAGTAAATTCGTACATGGATGTAATGACATGAAACGCATGTTGAGAAACTACCCACTTGTAGCACTCTAATAATATGTCTATAGGAGATCATGGGGCCATCTTCTTTTCAGACTCTGATTTACTGTGGAGAAGGTTATTGCAAGATTTTTATGCGTTTGATTTGATTTGACTTAAAAAATTAAGTAAAAGTATTGCGAAAATAATGAATTTGTTGGAAAAAATGGGAAAAGAACTGACACAAGATTTTTTTTTTCGATAAGCAAATTGACAAGTTTCAACATTGGTTTTTAATTTATTGCCCACTCGGCTATTTTTTAAAAAATAGTTGAAGATGGCTTATAAAAATATTTTTTTTTTTTATTATTTTAATGGAATTTACAACTGTATTACATAGAGAATACAATAAGTAAATGAGAAATTGGTAACATGGCATGTACAACATGAAGAGAAACTACCCATTGGTAGAACTCAAATTAAAGTTCTATATTAGAAGATCCCGAGGCCATCTTCTTTTCAGACGCCTCGGAGGGTTATCAGGGATCGAGGAGGAAGCAAGGTTTGAAACGAGAGGATTCGGATAGTTCTGCAGTTTGTTATGGAAGAAAAGGTATCTGGATTGGGCCAGATCGGAAACATATGGAACATTAAGGTCTTTATGGATGATTTTATTTGTGACAAAGTAAGGAGCGTTGAGGATTTTACAAAGGATTTTGGATTGTAAGGTTTGGATACGAGAGGAACTCCATGGTTTAGTGGAGCCCCATAGATCAACTCCGTAAATCCTAATAGGCCTTATTATAGTCATGTATATGAGTCTTTTGTAATTAATTGGAAGTTTAGAGCGTTTGTCTAGTAAGTGCTGAAGTAATCGGAAACTTCAAGCGGTTTCTTGTCGTTTTAGTCTAGTATGAAGAGGCAATATAAATTGAAAGTGTGTTAGAGCTTTTTTTTTTTTAGTCCAAATAAGTCTTATTATTGTCATATATACGAGTCGTTTATAATTGATTGAATGCTTAGATCGTTTGTCTAGTAAGTGCTGCAGTAGTATAAAAATATAGACAAGGAATATGAAAAACTATTTGCTTTTAATAAAAATTTTTACAATGGTTGTGAGGCCTAGGTAAACTAGCCTATCTAGTAATAAAGTTAGTCTCCCCACCACTCTTACCTCAGTCTCCCCTTCACTTCTTGTGATTGAACCTTTGATTTTCGTAAATCCGCCAAACACATCCATCAATACTTCAATCAGTATCTTACACGATCAATCAGAACGTCAATAGTGCCTCAGAATACAATTCCGAATGACCGTGTTGGGTCCGCATCTATTTTGGTTCTTTGTTTGTGTAAAATATCTAAAGAAATGGAATGTAAAGACAGCTTGGATTTCATCGATGAATTTATCAAGTTCTTTGCCTTCTGAATCTTCATTCCTTCTTCTAATAAAGTATTTTTTACCAAATAATCCAGCAACTCAGTCTTTTCACTTCGCTATGGCATTTTAAAAATTAATCAAAACGTTCGTAGATCAATGAACAACTCACAAAATTTTTTTACAGTACAGGCCTAACCTTACTATAACTAATAACACTTTAGTACGTTAGCACAAACAGGTTATTTACTATTCATTCGTGGCACATTAAGAATTTACAACAAGTACTTGAATAACCCAAATAATTGGCACTCGTTACTTGAATATGAGTTCCAATTTTGTAAACAAACAAAATGTGAATGGAATTTTTACCATTTATAAGATATAGATCGACTTTGTTAAATAATTGGTTACATGTCAATTAATTTGACTAAATATGCAAGCTCACAAATATTGGATTAGCTGCGATAACGCGTCACGAACTTTGCTGATCGATGTTAATCTATTACATTCCGTTCTCATTATCGTGATAATTTTCATAATAAAAACTACTTGTCGACTATTAGCGATAGCGATCTAGGGCTATGTTAATGGGGATTTATGTGTGAGGCCCTTGGGATTGAGGGGGGGGGGGAGTTCTTGGGGGATTTCTTTAATTCCTGGCTACATTCCTCTTCGGCACGCTCGAGCAGGGTAGTGCAACTTGTCACGACGTCGGGTTCCAATAAACGGGATGTGATAAAATTCCTCGGGTTTGTCCCAGGCGCCGGGTAGAGAGATGGTTATCGCAGCTGACACAAAGGAATCTAATTTACATGTGGATGCAGATAGTGGAGAGGGAGAGAGGGGGGCTGTGTGCAGCGACATCGCTCTTCGGGGGACAGCGCACTTGTCGAGGGTCAACGCCGATTTAATCAAAGATTTCACGGTCGGATCGTCCTCAACAGCGGCAATCTCTCTGTCATCTTCATCAACTCCGACAGACCGAAAACCCATTACTCATGTTTAAACGCAATGGTCTCGTCACCGCCGCTTACTCACAGCGCGAGAACTTCAATGAATGATCCCCCGAACTGAATCAAGAAATAAGACGCAGTAGTATTTTGTAATAAAAAAGCAACTTGGGTGAAAAGGATTAAGTGCATTTCCTCATTTCCTATTAAAAATTATTATTATTTTTTTATATATATAAAAAATCCTTGATTTATAATTATAGAACATTTTCTTTAAATGTCCACCAAAAATCCTGAGAAAATCCAGCTTATATATATTCTAAATTTCTTACATTTTCGCACTCATTGAAACTTAGGCATTTTTTTATATTTTTGATTTTCAACCCAGGATAATCAAACTTTGTATTTTTATAAAGTTTAATGTGTAGCTTTCAGATATATACATCTTTTTGGTAATGGGTTAATAATATAAAAAAGAGAACCATAGCTACACTCGCCCCGGCATATTTGCACACGAGGGGAGTGCATCAATGGAGACTAGGGTTGGTGCAAAACGTGTCCCATAGTAAATCTTTCTTAGTTAAGCTATTTAGCTTTAGTATAGTATATTTATACTCGAGAAATCACACAAAAATCTAATTTTTAAATTTTATCTAGTTTTTGTATTGGTTTAAGAGAAAAAATAATGGCAGAATCTGTTAAAAAAAAAACAAGCTCTTACACACTTTCAATTTATATTGCCTCTTCATACTAGACTGAAACGACAAGAAACCGCTTGAAGTTTTCGATTACTTCAGCACTTACTAGACAAACGCTCTAAACTTCCAATTAATTACAAAAGACTCATATACATGACTATAATAAGGCCTATTAGGATTTACGGAGTTGATCTATGGGGCTCCACTAAATCATCGAGTTCCTCTCGTATCCAAACCTTACAATCTAAAATCCTTTGTAAAATCCTCAATGCTCCCTACTTTGTTACAAATAAAGCCATCCATAATGACCTTAATGTTTCTTTTGTTTCAAATCTGGCCCAATCCAGATACCTATCCTTCCATAATAAACTTCAGAATCATCCCAAGCCTCTCGTTTCTGACCTTGCTTCCTCTTCAATTCCTGATAACTCTCCGAGGCGTCTAAAAAGAAGATGGCCCCGTGATCTTCTAATGTAGACACATCATTAGAGTGCTACCATTGGGTAGTTACTCAGCAAGTGTTTTCGTGTCATTATATCCATCTGTTCAAATTTACTAGATGTATTTATTTGATACAGTTGTAAATATCATTAAGAAATAATAATATATATATATATATATATATATATATATATATATATATATATATATATATATATATATATATATATTCCCTCTTAAGGAGGATCTTAGAGTGAGATTACACTTGCCCTGGATGTATGGACATAGAATTTTTAAAAAATATACAGAAAATAATATATGATGGCACTTATGATGCTGCCTATAGTTTTTTTTTAGCTGATAATACTCCTGCTTGAATGAAAAAAAGACTGTTTTTACTTGAATAGTACTTGAGGTACTAAAAACTCGTAAATACTCATTCGTTTTCCACTTGGATCGTTAAATAATTATATCGCAAAATACAAGAAAAAAGTGGCCTACAAAAATATTAGGACGTTGGGTCTATATAACATCGTTATTTTGACATTTAGGGAGTGTAGGTCACGCCAAACGGCTCAATATTTTTGAAGGCCACATTTTGTCTCTATTTTGTGCTTACGATTCAAGTGGAAAGCAAATGAGTATTTACGAGTTTTTACAACCTAATTAAATAGACAAAGTTTGCCGACCTCCAGATTGAAAACGCCCCAATTCCGAGAATTTTCGTAAATATAATATTTATAGGTTACGATGAGATGAAGCTATTTACGAAGTTTTAGGCGGATGTTAATAATTTGGTAAAAAGGAGTCTGGATCTCGGACGAATGTGTTTTGTACGCCAATGAATGTTTGCCTCATTCATTCATTCATTCATTGCTTTAACAGTAACATTACTGTATTGATTTAACTGTAACAGTAACATTAAATTTCGATATTTAAAATTTATTTTTCATGTAAACATTTTAGCCATCACGATCCAAATATTATATATGTATGTATATATTAATGATCCAAATATTAAAATAGAAAAAAAAATCAATAAAATTATAAACAAACAAGTCGTGTTGTTTAAAAGAATCCAGAAGTCAACCCAGGTTTTCTTCCAGGAATCCAGTTATCGCAAGACCAACTTATTTCCAGCTGGAAGTAGCCAAGTTGAAGAGAAAACTTAATCTAGATGTAATCAAGTTGCATTTAACACCCAACCTTAAATGGGTAGCAGGTATCTTCATGGTGTGAAATATTTCCGAAGAGATCCGATGAATGCCTAACTCCCTTTGGAGGAGCTTGTTCCAGGGATAGTTCAATCAACTTTAGTTTCAAAGTCGGTAGAGGTTTCCACTGGCTATCCCAAAGAATACGACTCAGATTCCACTAACTTTTGGCATTTAATTACAAGTTGGGAGTTAGGAGATCTGATAAGGTTTCAACCGAATCACTTACTCCCATCTCACAAACCCCCACGAATCAATTCCACGCCGGATCCGTGAAGGGGAGGGGAGTAGAAACGAGCAAACTTTGGAAAAATATACAAAAATAGTAGGATTTGGAACAATGGACTACCGTTTCTTAATATGCTTATCTGTGAGTGAATGGAGCCTCTTATTTCCAAACCATAATAGATTTTTTAAAATTAAGATATGTATCGATTCACTTGTAAAACACCCAATGAATTCGATGGTCTAATTACTTTTTTTTTCAAAAATGAACCTAAAGAGAATCACTTTATTTTCATAAAAGGGTGCTGCCCAATTATATTGGATTGCAACAGACACAGAATACTTATAAATTGATACAATGGACAATTCTTTAATATACAAATACACCGTATCATCAATCAGCATTTCTTTTTTTTTTTGGTCGTATTTGACATTAATTAATCATTTAACACTAATGTTAAATTTTATATATATATATATATATATATATATATATATATATATATATATATATATATATATATATATATATAAAGAGTTAGTCAAATTTCTGAGTCTTTTTTGAGAAAATTGTGAAAACGTATCATCAATATATATGAATATAGTAAACAATTTTGTTTTATATGTTTTTTACTGTTTATTTTATTACCATTCTATTTCCCTTCCTTTCTCTTCTCTTCCCTTATACATTTCTCTTATTCATCCTCATATTTTCCCCTCTCTCTTCCTAACCAAATTCATACTTTCTGATTACAAATTATAGAATGACAAGAAATAAAACATAAATAATGAAAATAAATAAAACAATATATAAAAATTATATAAAATTAACTTATAAAAATTGATGTTAATATAAATTGAGTTTCGAAACCGGCCTATTTTCGTTTAGAGAATTTTATGAACTTTGCATTTAAAAAAAATAAAAATAAATTTATTTTATTGTAGTAAACAAAAAGTTAATTTTTATAATCCTCTCTCTCCCCCAAATATTCATCATTTTTTCTTGCCGTTCAACCTTTTTTTTTTTTGGTTCAGAAACGGGCCTTAAAATTTACTTATTTCCAACAATTTTCAATGCTTTTTAATTTTTCCTGGAATAATTAGTGATTTTCGAAAATGTGTTCATAAAATTAAGAATTCCTTGATTGTCTTATTTGTAGCATTATATTTTTTTATTTGTTAATCTAAACATAGGTGTTAAATTTTACATATATATAAAGAGTTAATTCAAAATCTTTAGAGCCTTTTTCTAGAAAATTGTGAAAATGTTATATATTTAAGTCGATTTTAGCGGTAAATACTTTAAAATCTCAGATATACACCTACCTTAAACATGTTATTTTAGTGTCTTTGCTCTTTTCGTCTTTTAAGTAAGTTGTTTACATACATACAGACCATTTTTCTAGATTTTATTATTTGAACTTAAGGGACTTGAAACTTCTTTTCCATTGATAACTCGGCTTAAAAATGTTTCACTATCATAATGCTTTCTCTCACTAAATATGTCGTAGATGTGGGAATGGGAACCTATACCATACGAGTCTTAGAAAGAAAAAAAAACGAGGATATACTTGAAGAATGTTAAATTTTAAGAATAAAGTTTAGATTACTTACTTTTATTATTAAATAGATGTGGTTGTTTTTCTGAATTCTGCGGCTCACATTGTCGTTTAAATGGAGTTAAAACGTTCTTATGTATAACACAAAACGGGTTTTGTTAAGAATTTAGCTACTTTTTTTTTTTGGTTGGGAGGAAAAGTCTTGATTCATTTTAACATCGAACAATAGCTAAAGATATTATCTATAATTGTATATCAGTGTCTAAAGATCAGTCTTGGCAAGTTTATGAAGATGGGCGGGGCTAGAAGGCAGAGGCAATCCATCAGGATTCCATCAATGATTGCAGTTGTCAGAGAAGCCTTGCTGTAGATCAATTAACAGATTGTTAGGCGGGATGGACAAAGACACCGCACAATTACGTAGATCAAATTGGGAAACAATAGAAACGCAACCGCCTGGTTAATACGGCCTAAGGTGTTCAAAGTCTATTAGCTAGCTGAGAAGTAACATACAAAGGTCAATATTATAACATTATTATATTATATATTATTAATAAAAACAAAAATATTATAATATTTGTGGGTAAATGGTTGAATGTCGTGAACAATGAAGAGAAGAATGGGTGATCAGTTAGAAATAAGAAGGCAAAAATAAATGATAATATTTATTTTGACATTTGCCGACGTTTCGACCTGAAGTTCAGGCCTTCATCAGGGCTAAGAAAAAGAACCAGATAGCAAGGAATGAGAAACATGAATAATATAGGTGAAAAAAAATTAAAGTAAAATGAAGTTGTTAGAATAATGGCAATAGTAAGACCTAAGAGATAAAAAATAATAACCGTTACAAAATGTGGAATGATGAAGTAACCATAATCAAAAAAGGTGACATAAGTATATAACTTC